CCCTGCTCCTCGTGCAGCCCTTCTCTGGGGCTCCCCCATCGCCCCCCCCCCAAGCTTGACCTTGGGAGGCAGCCCCATCCCCACCTTCAGCCAAGGTGCAGCCCCTTGTTGCAGGGCAGAGGGAATGGGCTGGAGGCTTCTGGGCCCACCTGCAGCCTTCCTGCTGCCCCCATGAGGTGGACACAACAGGAGGCCCAGGGGCCCCCACCTTCGCACCTCTAGGGACCCCTCAGCATCCCCCACCCCCTCTCCTAGGGCTGATGTGGCCCCCCACCCCGTGCCCAAGGGGGTCTCAGGGAGCCCAGTGGGACCAGCAGGGCCTCCCTGGGGTGCCAGGGGAAAGGGCCACACCTACCTTGCTGTAGACCCCCCAGGACAGCTCTGTCTCCGTCACCATGACAACAATGCCGAACATGCCGAAGATGAGAGCGTAGTCACTGAGACGCTTCCGCTTCTCAAAGAGCGCCCGCCGGTGGCCCAGACGGTGGCCAACGCTGGGGAGCTTTCCTGAGCCCCTCTGCCTACCCGCCTCATCCTCCTCATCATCTTCCTCTTCCTCCTGGTCCTGGGGCTGCCCCCGGGGGCTGCCGGGCGAGGGCTGGGCTGGCTCACTCTTGGCTACCACCACCTGGATGCCTGGGCCATTTGGAGGCTGAGGCGGGTGGCCGGCCTCGGGGTCCGGAGGGTCTCGGCCCAGGGCACCCAGCCCGCCACCCAGTGGCCGTCCCCCGAAGCCATTGTGTCTGTGGCTGTTCATGACTATGTAGGTGCTGGGGTTGGGCTTGCTGCCGGCCGCCCGGGGCCCGGCATGGCTCAGCAACCGGGCTCCCGCGCTGACCTGCAGGGCATGGGGGACACGGTCGTGTCAGGGCCTCAGCAACGGACCAGAGGGCTACGGACCCCACCCCAGCACATTCTGAGGCTGGAGAGGCCAGGAACCGATTGCGGCTGACACGTGGATTAGCCACTCCAGAAACCTGCCTATGTCCCTCCTCTGCTCCAAACCTCCCCGTGGCTCTCCAGTGCCATTGTATAAAAACTCAACTTCTCACTGTGTCCAGGAGGCCTCTGTGGTCTGGCTCCCACCCACCTTATCCTTCTCACTTTCCCCACAGTCACTCCCTTCCAGCCACGGTGGCCTACCCATTACCAGAGCCCGGCAAGCTTGGTCCTGCCTCAGGGCCTTTGCACCTGCTGTGCCCTCTGCCTGGAACACCCTCCTACCAGACCTTTGCCCGCTGACTTTTCTGTGTCTCCAGGTACCTAGAACAATGCCTAGCACACAGATGGCATTCAATAAACACTTCTGAATGCCTCAAGATGGAATCTGCTGGCTGGTTTGCCTGGGAGGACTAGAGGCCGTGTAAATGAGCAGCTGGGAGGTGGTTCCAATCCAGGCTTGTCTCCTTCTGACCTTCAGGCTCTTGGACAAGTTAATCTCACTCTACTCCAGTTCCTCCCGTAGAGCCGTCCAAAGGCCTGAACACACTTACATAGTCACGGGATACGGCCAGGATTTAACTCTAAGATCCCAGAATTGATGCTACAGGGTCTTGGGAGACGTGCTTGGCCCGGTCCTGTGACCTCGGGCCAGACTCAGTTTCCCCACCAAGGAAACTGGCTACCAAGGAGGAGACTGTCTGATCTGCCCCCTGCTCCTGCACAGGGCAGTGTCCCCTGGCGTCACATGAAAGCGCAAGGACCTTGAAGACGATGACACGCACATGATGAGGCTGCCTGGAGTCCAATCTCCTGGGTCCCAACTTGCCAGATCCTCCCCTGCCACCCCCACCCCCAGCCCACTCTCTCACTCCCCGCCCCTGCAGGCACCCCCTGCTGCCACCACAGCCTGTGTTTACTGAACACCTACTACACGCCAGGCTCTGTCCTTTGCACAGATTTTTCTCCTTAATCCTCACAACACCCCCAAGAAGAGGGTCCTGGGATTTGGCCAGTTGTACACATGGGGAAACTGAGGTACCAATGTGGTGAAGGGACCATCTCCTTACAAGGCAGATTCTGAACCAGGCTGCCTTGTGGGATTCTCCCAAGAAGCCACTCAGTGGTGGGCTGTGGGCCAAGTGTTGTCCCTTTGGAAAAGGCCAAGCTGGCATGTGCTGGGGCCCCAGGAAAGGGGGCTGTGTGCACAGACAGGACACCTCCCTGGCCCTGAAGCCATGTTCCTGGGCGTGACAGGCTCAGAGAGTGTCACATCAGGACCTGCCAAGATGAGCCATGTTGCCAGGCGGGACAGGGGTGACCTTGGCCAGGGCCCTACCGCATGCATTGCAGAACCACCTGTGCCTGTGTCCGTGCCCCGCCCCAGGCAGTATCTGTCCCACTCACTACATGTCCCCAGACGAGGGTGCCAGCACACAGTAGGAACACAAGAAACATGAGTCTTAGAATGTGTCCCACTTCCATCCATGTCACCTGTGACTTGACGCTTCACAGTTTGTAAGAGCTGGCCCCACGTGGTCCCAGGACATCACAGATTATATGGGCTGATCTCCTGTAGGAGATTATATGGGCTGATCTCCAGCACTTCACAGTTTATAAGGCTGACCTTGGCCCTGATCTCTCTCTTCATTCTCACAAGCACTCAGGTGCCACTCTCCTCTGGGCTAGAGCCCCTGCTTGCCACCTGAAGGACTGTCAGCTGCTAGGCAGGGCTAAGAGCTTGCCACCAGGACACACACAGGGGCCCCAGACCCTGCCCTCGCCCAAGACACAAGGAAACCTCAGGCACCCCTCCCATCTTCCCTCCTGAAGGTGCAGAAGGCTCCTGTCCAGGGCTTGGGGAGCAAAGGCAGGAGAGGTGGTGGCCTGGCAGTCAGGACTGGAAGCAGGTGGGAGCAGTGCAAACGACCTTCCAAAATGCACCGATGAAGATGCAATTTGGGGATGTGACTCAGCCGCCCAACACACAGGCCAAATTCGGCCGTGTTTCCGCCATGCTCCTCCTTGCCTGGCAGCCGTGTCCTAACGTGTCCTGGGCAGGGAGGGGGTGGGGCAGGGCATGTGAACAGGCGGCAGGTGGCTTCTGGGAGGGCCTTCTTAGTGCCCATGTTGTTAATGCGGACCTATTGCTTATTGCGGGCCAAGGCCTTGATGAGAATTACCATATTTAATCCCTATTGCCACTTAGCAAGGCAGGTGGCATTCTTCCTCCCATTCTACAGAGGGGAGACAAGGCTCAGAGAGGTTCAGCACTTTGCCCAAGGTCACACAGCCAGGAAAGGCAGGGACTAAGTTAGTGCAGTCTGGGGGCAGTGGATGGCAGGATCTGCCTGGGTCCCTCTTGATGAGCGGCTGTTTGGAAAGGGAGCCAGCCTGGCCCTGTCCTTGAGGGGCCACAGAGCTCAGAACACAGGCATGGTGACTGTTCCACCCCTCCCACGACCTCATAGGAAATGGAAGGACAGAGTGGCCTGCCTGCGATCCCGCAGGAGAAGGGGGCAGCCCGTTTCTAAAGACTGGGTGGGACCCTAGGGCCCTGGGGACAAGAGACCCCACCCCTCCCCAGATTCACCTTCCCCTCCCTCAATGCAACCTGGGCCTAAAGCTGGGGTCCCCGAGACCCTCAGAGATTTCCCAAAGAATCAGAAGTCCCTGTGAAACCCCAGCCAAGGTTTGGATGTCCATGAAAGGGTGTGTTTTTCTGGGTGAAGGCCCTGGGTTCTCCAAGGAGTTCCTCTAAAAAAGCAACAAACATCCTATGGGCTGCATTTGGTTTTGAGGGTTCCTGGAATTCCCCAAATTGTCTAACATGTCTGGGGCACCAGACCTCTGTTCCTTGAATGCTGGGGTGAGGGGATGAGCAAAACCCTGCCTTCGTGTCCCGTCCCACGAGATGCTGTGGGAAACCTGTAGGCCGAGCAGGGCCGGGGGGACCCCGGAGGGCTCTTGAGGAGTGGGGGAAGGTGTGCAGAGAGCAGGGAGCAAGGAGGCCGACTCCTCTGAACTGTCCCACCCAACAGGAAGAGAAAGAAAATGGCCAGACCCGAAAGGCCCTCGAGTGAACTCTTTTACAAATGATGGGTTGATTGCAGAGGGACCTTTGGGTGTCCCAGCCAGGACGAAGTCACTGCCACTTCCTCATTTACCTCTTTAGTAAAGGGGCGTCTCGGTGCCATCCCAGCAGGGTCAGTGGCCACAATGGAGTGAGATCTCATGTGGAAAATGCTTAGCACTCAGCCATGGGTACGCCTGTTGTGGTGACACTACCAAACACTGTGATCTGTCCTTCAGAGCTGGACCAGGAGAATGTGACCCCTGCCCATCAGTCTCCAAGGCAGAGCTTCCTTGGGGCAAATGCCCACCCCATTGTGCCCAGGAATCATGGCCAGAGCAGCACATGGTAGAACCTTCCAGGATATGTGGGTGAATTGTGGGTTGTGTGTCCCTGCGGAGGGTGGGGTAGGACCCTAGGACACACCTCCACCAGCACTCTTGGGGCCCTAGCTCTGCAGGGTGGACAGGATCTGTTCATCCTTCCAACCCCATGGGCTGCCCGACAGTGGGTGCAGCAAGTCGTTGGCTGACTGCCCCATCCCTTAGGCATTCCCCCCATCACCACCCGTCAGGAACCTGCCAGCAGCCAACAGGGTGCAATTAGCCTGCCCTAGCCTGCTGTCCCCAGTGCCCTCCACTCTGATGCATCTCCATCAGCATCTCTGGCTCACCCCCAGCCTTCAATACTCACATTTGTGGCCCCACCCTCCAGGACAGCCCAAGCAGTGCACTGTGCTGGGTACCCAACCTCTGTCCAGGGAGAGCTGGGGGACCCGGCTTTCCGACCCCTGCCGTGCTGCCCCTAATGGCTGGATACAGGGGCCAGTGGTGAGGGTCTCCTTCCTCCCATTACCATGTCAGTCCTGGGTCACTGCCTCCACCCCGAGAGCTCCCCCACCGTATCTATGGAGTTTAGAGACTCACTGCTCTGCCCCCGCCAAAGTGAACCCAGTACCCTCCCCCTCCAGGATGGGGGTCCGTGAATCTTTACTCACTCGGGCAGTGCACATACACATTCCCCCCGTCGCCGTATCCCCTGGGTTGCGGACCCCACGGAAACCCTCCTAGCCCCTGCCCAAAACCGCATCTCACTCCGGGACATGCCGTCCTGGGTGCCCCTGCCCATCCCACTCAGTACCTGCGGGACTCGTCTTGGGCAGGCGGACGAGGCTGGAGGCGAGAGGGTCCCGCGCGGCCGCGGACCCCCAGGAAGGGGCCGAGGCCGGGGTCGCGGGCGGGGCGGGCAGCAGCGGGCGGGCGCGAGGCCCCGGGGCCGTGGGGCCGGGGGCAGTGGCAGCGTGCGCATCCCCCGCCGCCCTGCCCACGGGCCCGGCCGGGGG